ATTCTATTGAGTTTAAGACTCTTGAAAATTGTGATGTTTATAATTTTTGGCATTTTTTATTTTTTTTTTGAGACGGATGGTCCCGTGTGGGACCCGCTACAGGAATTGTTGCATCCGGGGATTTTAGTTGGGTCTGTTGGCATCATATTTATTTTATTTAATGTGTTACATATAGTTATGATTTAATGTATGTATATAGGTATATGTGTGGTGTAAATTAAAAACAAAAGAAAAAGAGAAAATAAAAGAAAATCAAGTGGGACCCATTACCACCTTAAAAAGGGTCAAAGAGACCATGCTTGTCTCTATTCTCTCTCCTCACCCGCTGGATCTTCTCTCTCTCACTTTTCTTTTCTCTTTTTCTTTTGCTCCAAACTTTGAATCTAGATCTCTCTCTCAATCCTTGGTAATTTTAAGAGCTGTTTGCGGCAAATTGAAGCCCACGACGAGATCTTTAAGTTAATTGGAGCAATTTCGTGTTTGGTGCACTCTAGGAGAGTTGGGATCTAGAGCACAAATTGGGGGTTTTGGCTTAAATTGAGGTAGGGGTCTCTAATACTCAAATTCTTGTTCCTTTGTGAGTTTTTCTACTTTAATTGTTGTCAAGCATGATTAAATTGAATTGATTGTTTCTTAGATGATTTAATTGAGTATATAAACCATGTAATTATGTGTATTTGTTGATTTACTTGGAAAGTATGCTTGATGTGTTAATTTTCTATGCCAATGATGCTTAATAATTTGTTGAAAATTTTACATGGAAGCATGTTAATTGTGTGATAATAATTCTCTCCATTTCCATAGTATTAAAAAGACATGTGATATGCATACAAGCATTGGGCATGAAAAAAAAAAAGGGAAAAGTGTTTTGAAGTGAAATTGAAAAGGGAATTTTGGGGAGAAATTTTGAGAAAATGGTTTTGAGAAAACCCGGTCGCTGCGGAGTCACCAAAGGGCCAGTGTGTTAATATAGCCTAGAGGGAACTAAGGAGATTGCCCTAGCGTGGTTGAGCTATCTGGGCCCCAAATGACGCTGCGGAGGTACCAAAGGTCAGGGACAGTAGCCAATCCTTCTCTCGTGTCGCTAAGGAGTCACCAAAGGGCGGGTTATATTAACAATTTGTGATATGATGGAAGTTTTCTGAAAAATGGGGAGTGACATGCATGACATTGCATTCATGGCACGACATTCTTTTGTTTTGGACTTAAAAATGTATATTGAATTTTTTCCCGCCTTTGTATGACCCCGTTCCCTATTATCCTATTCATTGTTTGGATTCACAGGGTTACGAGAGGTGGGTCTTAGGCACCACGTACTGAGCAATTTGCTTACCCCATTACATTTAACAATTTTCAGGACACGGATGGCAAATGGCGGACGACGCTCCTTCACAGGGTTTGATGGGTTAGTAGACCATTTTGATATACTTTGTAGTTATAATCTTATTTTATTATTATGTATTTATTATTACTTATTTTTTTTATAAACCCGGGATGACATGTATAATATGTATTAACGTAGGAAAGAATAGTGTTGTCCCTAGTTGACCTCAGGTTTGGTTAAGGACTTGGCTAACAGTTCGGACCTACTGGTTCAGGTCGTTACAGAAATGCACCGGTTGCCATTTTGGGATTTTTCAGTTTTTCGGGCCGGGAGGTCCCTGGCGGGACCCATAACCGGTATTGTTGGTGCACTGGAATTATTTTATGGGGCTACTACACTTCGTATATTATTATTTGGAATATGATTATGTGGTTGTGTGTATAATTGTATCAATTATAGTGTGTATAATGTATATATAGATATAAATACACAAAGGAGATTTTTTTTTTAACACGTGGGACCCGCTTGGATAAAAGGTGATTATATATCACCACACTTATCCATTTTCAGCTAGAATCTCCTCTCTCTCACGTAGCATTTGTTTCTCTCTCTATAAACTTTTCTTTTTCTTTGTTTTTAAGCTTCATTTTTTTTTTCTCCTCCATTTTTCGGCCAATTGGTCGGGTTTTCGGTCTTGGTTCCTTGACGGAAAACGTTCATCTCGTCGTTCTCTATCACATATTGAAAGAATTTAATTTTTGGAGTAGTGATGATTATTTTACGAATTTTTGAAAATTTTCAATCTAAGGCTTCAGAGGGGGTTTTGGGCCACTTAGAGTCGGATTCTGGAGCTGAGCCTTTCGAACAGTAGAATCTCCTCATCGACGGCTACGTTCCCACCAAATAGTTTTCTGTTCCGCAGCCGTTGACCGGTGTTGATTTTTGTTGACCGGCATTGACCGGGTTGACCGGCGTTGACTTTTCCGGCCGGGGATGTATTTTGGCTCTTTTTGAGGTAGGGGTGCTCTAATTCACAATTTCTTAGGTTCTATGTGAATTTTCCTTCTTATAACCATGTTTTATTTCAATTATTTTGACTATGTGATTGTGGTTGAATATATGTAAAGTGGTGGATGTATGCTATGTGATAAATGAGTTTGTAAATTTAGTTACATCCTTGTAGTGAAGAAGTATGCTTAGAAATGACAAGTTGTTTACTTTATGTATTTCAATTGCCATGAAAATTTGATGTCATAATTGTAGAAATAAATATTTAAAATATTCTTTTATAAGTTGTAATTATGATATGGGTAAAATGTATGGAATATAGTTGTTGAATTTGGAATTTGGAATCATGAAGTATTTATGCATCCATTGGGAAAGAAAAAGGGAAAAAATATATATTTTTAAAACCAATGAAATTGTTTTGGGGAAAAGTTTTTGAAAAGTGTTTGTGAAAACCCGGACGCCTAGGAGGCGCCTAATAGTCCGTGGTGTTAGTGTGGTCTAGAGAGGGGACTAGGGAGAGACCCTAGTATGGTTGAGCTAACCAGGCCTGATGCGACGCCTTGGAGGTGCCTTGTGGTCGTGGATAGTTAGCCAATCCCCTTTCGTGACGCCTTGGAGGTGTCTTGGGTCAGATTACACTAACGGTTTGGAAGTTGAAACGGTATAGTTTTGGAAACGGGGAATGACATTGCATGGCATGACACATCATTGGCATACGTGGTGCATTTGGTAAATAGTTGAGATATGTATGTTTGTTGATGATACAGTGGTTTTACTTGACTCCCGAGATATGATCCCGTTCTCTTGCTTTCTATTCTTTATGTGGATTCACGGGGTCATAAGAGGTGTGTTTAACTCACCCCATCATTTTAACATTTTTCTGGTCACAGGAAGTAAGTGGGAGACGACGTTCCTCCACAGGTTTTGATGGGTTAGTGAACTGTTTGACATATTCTGTAGTTATGATCTCATTTAATATTATTAATATTTATTATTATTAATATTTATAAACCCTGGGATGACATGTATATTATGTATTGATATAGGAATGGACAGTAACGTTTTTAGTTGATCTCGGATTCGGGTAAAGATCTAGTTAGCGATTTGGACCCTCGGGTTCGGGTCGTTACATTTATTGCCATTGCTTCTTCTTCTTTGCAGCTATTTTTTTTTTTTTTTTTTTTTTTTTTTTTTTTTTTTTCAGTGTGTAATTACAATTGTATTAGCATAATTTTATCTTTATTATGGAAAACAGAGCAAATTCATGAATTTTGGTTGTTAAGTCAGAATTTCAAAAGAAAAAATAATAATAATAATAATTGGTGGTCCGAGAAGTCTGCTGAATACAAGTGGTGGTTACCTCCATTTGCTTTATTATGGTTGGGAACTAAACATAAAGCAGAATGGTGGTGAAGACAATTAGAGCCAAGAAAGTCAATTATTGAGGTTTTAGGGTCTAAGTTACGTCCACAATTTAACTTTATGACTAGAATTTCCCTAGTAAAAATTTAAAGGAGCTGCTAAGAGGAAATGAAATATGAAATGTTTCTTGAAGACTATAATTTCTAGCAGCCTTGTTAACCTTTGGATGATAAGAAAATTTTGCTTTTATAGCATCTGAAGAAACACATACCAATTATGAAAAAAAACAGAGCATAAAATACCCAAGATTTTATTTATTCAGCAACAAACTTGATATTAAAGTAAGAAGAATACCAGCAAATCTGTCTTATGACTATTCACGGGTGAAATTAGGCTTGGATGCGAATGTGCTTTCTCATCACTTGAAACAAGAACACAAGTGTTCCTTACCTCCGCTGCTTAATAGTTCTGCGTCTGCCATTTCTTGTCTTTTGCTTGGGAAGTATCCAACCAGATCGACATAAAGCAGATGGCGACTGTGATGACAAAGCCTGCAACAATTCCAAATCCAAATGGCAGTCCTATAATAGAATCTTTTGATTCTTCTGGTGCTTTAGATGCAACTTTTTGAGGACCTTTTGGGGTCTCAGCGGAACAAGAAGAAGAGAATGATCTACACAGACTCAAAACTTGAATCTGGAAATGTATGAAATTGACCTCCAGAAGGGACTATTCCAGTGAGCTGATTGTGAGCAATGCTGAATTTTGAAAGAAAGCTGAGAATCACTAGTGAAGATGGTATGCTTCCTAAGAGATTGTTATAGGATAAATCCAAAGTCTCCAAGTTTTTCATCTCTGATAAAGTAGCTGGAATATGTCCTGATAGACTGTTGTTTTTCAGATCCAACACATGGACTACTTTCAAATTTCCAAACTCAGGCAAGATTGGTCCAGCTAACATGTTGTCGCTCAGGACCAAAGACGGTGGGAAGCTCCGAATTTGATTGTACTGCAGCCTATCTAGAGTTCGGTTCTTTTTGAGGAAAAGTTTTGAGTTCTTCTGAAGGATCTTCTGCTGAGAAATTCCAGTTGATGAGGCCTTGTAGCTAAGTCAAGCTTCTTGGGATGTCTCCGGAAAGTGTGTTCGACAAATCCAAGTAAAAAAGAAATTTCAACTCTCCGAACCAAGGTGAAATTGTTCCACTCAAACGGTTCCATGACAGATCCAAGAGCTGCAGCTTGTTGCAGCCACTCAACCAGGTTGGAACCGATCCAGTGAGCTGACAATTTGCGATTATAAGAGCCCTCAAGTTGTTGAATTGTGGGCATGGAAGTTAGAGGTAAGAACTAAAGTGGTCAAGTTTCTGCAATGTTGTAGAATCGCTAGAGCTGCTGATAAATTGTGAAGGCCAGTTTTAGAAAGTGACAAGCCAGTGAGGGACTCGAACTTCTTGAAGCTGTCAGGTAACTGGCTGCCAAGATTATTTTGGGCAAGATTCAAACTACTCAACTGTTGACAAGAATGGAGATTATCAGGAATAGGTCCATCAAATTGATTAGAGCCCATATCAAGGAAGGTTAAACAAACCATAGCTGAGCAGTTGATAACAATTGGCCCAGTGAGAGAATTATTGTTAAGATTAAGTGATGAAATGCTGGGAGAATGGGTTAACGAGGGTGGTAGATGACCGATAAATCCATTGGACATGGCAGAGAATTGTTTCAGATTTACAAGGTTCTGGAAAGCATTTGGGATAGTTCCTGAAAACCCATTGGAAGAGATATCCAATTTAAAAAGATTTGAGAGGTTTCCAAAACCAGAACTCAAACTTCCAGAAAGCTTGTTATCCTGAAGATGTATTAAACTCAACTTTGGTAGACGCATGAGATCTTCTGGCAAGCTTCCTATAAGAAATTTTGAACTTAAAGACAGATGCTCTAAGTGACTACAATTCCCCAAATTCACTGGAATTTCTCCATAGTAATAGTTCAAGGAGAGATCAAGAACTTGCAGTCCTTTTGCTGCTTTACAAATATCCTCATTGATTGTACCAACTAATGAATTTTTCGATATATCTAGGAATCTAAGTGAAGGCAGATTAATATTCCTTGGTAAGAATCCAGAGAACCCATTAGAGCTTAAGTCAAGAATCTCTAAGTTCTGTAGTTGGAACAGTTCTACCGGAAGAGAATCGCTAAAGAAGTTCTCAGAAAGATTGAGATTTCTCAAATGTATTAAACCTGCCAAGGCTTTGGAAAGCCTACCTTTCAATCTCTTACTTCCAAGTTCTATGCTAACTATCCTCATCGAAGCATTAGAATCCTTCACAGGCAAGTCAAAAGACTCACAAACGACACCTTCCCAAGTGCAACAGTCGGAAGAGTTGCTGCCCCAACCATCAATCTGTGATTCCAAGCCGTCCAAGAAACCTTGCAACGCTCTTAAGTCATCAGAATTGCAGGTTTGATTGAGAGAACTATTAAATTGTGCAAGAAAGCATAAGCCCAGTCTCTAGTGTTCATTTCTGATCAACTCAAAGGGAAGCTAATGGCATGAGATCAAGGTTACGAGAATTAAATTCTGTTAACCTAAATTTCATTCTGTTCATTGAGAAATTCCTGGACCATCTGCCACTGGAATTGCAAATTTACCACTAGTGAGTGGAATAATGCAATTATTAGAAGCCCATTTAGCATGACTTTTCTGTCATTAAAGAAGCCAATGACATGAGAAAGGGTTATATCACACCAACCAATATGTGCATTAACTTAATGTAAAATTTGTCTTTAATTATTAGTCAAAGCTACTCTAATTTTCTGTAGGAATAGTCTTATACCCATGATAACTTTATGTAAAATTTGTCTTTATTATTATTCTTTTTGGCAATCCATTTGTTTGATTATATATATTTCTCATGTTTGTCGTGGATATCAATTATCAAATCAATTGAACTTAAGCTAGTGTCAGATTTATGAACTTATGTTTATTTTGCAATAGATTAAGCAGGTCTAATTTTTTCATTTACTTTATTTTTTGAAGGCCTAATTTCACGAAATCTTCTTATCTATCAATTTTGGTCATATAACCTCCTCAACTATCAAATACCACTCTCAACGAATACAATGTGTCATATAAGGCCAAATGTTAACGGAGCCGTTAGTTGGATAATGAAATGACAAAAATGTCCTGCTTCAACTTATTAAAATTAATAGAAAATGATGTATAAATATAAAATTATCATTTTATCCATTTAGCAAAATGGCATAGTATTACGTTTAAACTACTGAAACCCCCAAGTTCATTGGCTTTGAGTTATTGCTTGCTTGCTTGTATTTTTTTAATGGTTGGTATGGACATGATTTGACACTTGAATTATTTATCACAATGATACACTAAAATTTGTCTCTTACCTCTAAATTTAGACGTCGTTCCTCCATTTTGGCTGTTAGAGACAAACAGGCTACGGCCAACAACCACATCATCCTTGCTTTAGCCTTCTACGTATATAGATAATAAAACCAGAGTAATGTGACTTGATGCAAATGAAAAACAGAAGAAACTGAAACAGGAATAAAAATGACATTTTTAGAGTTTGATCCTTGTTGGAAATCTTTTCTATAAGTTGACTCAACGATTATAACAGATTTATTGGGTCTTCAATATAGACTAATTTTTAGGGATTTTATTTTTATTCTGATTTGATTTGATTTGATTTGATTTTATTCTCTTTATTTTGATTTAATTTTATTCTCTTTTCCATATTTGTAATTTTTCGCTTGTATAGTCAGGCTCTCAAATTCAGTACGCCAATTTTACCAAATTACTTTTTCGTATCAGAGCCTTAAACCTACGCCTCCCCCATCTCTCTCTCTTTCACCGCCTCTTTTAATATCTCTCTCTATCTTGTTACAGCCCCTTCCCAATTTTTTTTTTTTCACAGACCTTCTCTCTTTTTCAGGTCGCTGTTGCGACAGTCCTAGGGGGAGTCAATCTCCTCTAGGTTCGACCCCTGTAGGGGTATTCCCTTAGTCTTTTTCATGCACTAAGGGTCAGAAGACGTGTTTGTAATTTTTTGGGGCTGCCGGGATATTCGGCAGCATTTTCAGATCAGACCGCCGTGTCTCCGGTTTCTTGGTTTGATCAAAATCAGGTCTATTCCTCCTTTATTTGAAATTATTGGTAATCTATTGAATTGATTAATTTAATATTATGGCTGAATCAAGTAATAATAAAGAAACTCTCTTTTCGGCGCAACACACACCGGCTCAACGAATTACTAGTGTGCTGTTGAATGGCCGTAATTTTGCATCCTGGGCTCGTTCCCTTCGCCTCAATGTTGGTGGAAAAGGCAAATCAGGGTGGATTTTGGGTACTGAAAATAGGCCAGATATTAAAGATCCTAAATATGCTCAGTGGGATATGGACAATTGCACCATTTTAGGATGGATGTTTAATTCTATGGAGGAACGCATTTATAATATATTCATGTTTTATGACTCTGTTAATGACTTGTGGACTGCTTTGAATCAAATGTATGCTCATTCTAGGAATGATGCTCGTATTTTTGAATTATATCAAGATATTGCTAAGGCCTCGCAGGAAGGCCTGAATTTGTCTGTAACTGATTATTTTAGGTATTTGAGATCTCATTGGGAGGAACTAGCTCAACATGAGCCTCTCAGTGAATTTCCTTCTGAGGCAGTCTCTCTTCTTGTCAAACGTCTTGATCGTCAGCATACCTATCAGTTTTTTATGGGATTACGCTCAGAATTTGAACCACTAAAGTCTCAGATCTTGAATGCATCACCAATGCCATCGCTGTTGGAAGCCTTTGCTACTGTTGATGGTGAAGCACGCAGGCACCATTTAATTCAGCCCTCAATTGTTTCTGTACCGTGTCTGAGCCTGCTGGGGATAGTATGGCTTTTGCAGCCAACTTTGAATCATAAGCTTCTAGAGGTCAGATTATTTGTCACCATTGTGGAGGGGTTGAACATGTTAAGGCTCGTTGCTTCAAACTTCATCCTGAACTGAAGCAAAAATTTTCTAGGAATCGTTTATCTGGAACTGGTTCTTCTCGTACTGCGGCTGTTGCAGAAACTCCTGTTACTATAGGTGGATCTACTGTATTTCCTGGACTGAGCCAGCTTCAGTCTCAGATTGGGCATATCCAAGACCAGCTTGGCTCCCTTGCTTCTAGAGTTAGTGTTCCTTCAACTGCTCCCACTGCAACTATTGCTACAGGTACTCCTACTGCATTTCATGTTAAGGCCAAGCAACCCACTTGGGTTCTGGATTCAGGGGCCAATGATCACATGACTGGTGAGTTATCAGTTTTTTCTTCTAATGTCATACTTGTTACCCAATCCGTGTATCTTGCGGATGGCTTTATATCTTACATTCACAGTAAGGGTGATGTTTGTCTGTCTCCTGATATTATTCTTTCATCTGTCCTTCATGTACCTAAATTTTCCTTTAACCTTTTATCTATTAGCCGGCTTGCAAAAAATCTCCAATGTGCAGTTATATTCTTACCAAATCACTGTTTGTTGCAGGACCTTTGTTCGAAGAGGATTTTTGGCAGGGGTTATCAGCGTGATGGGCTTTACTACTTTGGGGAACCACCAGGAACGAGTCTTCAAGCTTCTGTCCTACCTACTTCTAGTGTTTATGATGTTTCTTTTCGCACTTTTAGTCTGTGGCATGCACGTTTGGGGCATGTAAACTTTCAATATCTATGTTTATTGTTTCCTTCGTTAAATAAAGCATGCAAGGACCATAAGTTTCAATGTGAAGTTTGTGAGCTTTCTAAACATACTAGAACTAGCTATATTTCTCATATGAGTCGTGCTCCTAGTATGTTTGATCTTATTCATTCTGATGTCTGGGGCCCTTCCCCAGTTACTGTTTTCTCTGGACATCGATATTATGTGACATTTATTGATGATTATTCTCGTTGTACTTGGGTTTATTTATTGAAAAAGAAATCTGATGTGTTTCTTTTATTTACCTAGTTTCTTCAAATGATCAAAACCCAGTATAACATTGTTGTCCGTAATATTCGTTCTGATAATGGACGAGAATATGTTTCAAATGAGTTCCGGTCTGAACTTAATAAAAAAGGGATTTTACATCAACTCACTTGCCCCTATATTCCTGAGCAAAATGGCGTGGCTGAACGCAAAAACCGTCATCTTATGTCTGTGGTCCGATGTCTTCTGAGTGGTATGCATGTGCCTAAATTCTATTGGCATATGGCTGTTCTTACAGCTGCTTTTTTGATTAATTGTACTCCCAGTCGAGTTTTGGGTGGTAAGGCACCACTTCAGATTCTCCAGCCTGATTATACATTATTTCACCTTCTGCCTCGTGTTTTTGGCTGTACTTGTTTTGTTTATAACCGTAGTCCTTCTCGTCATAAACTTGATGATAAATCTATTAGGTGTATTTTCTTGGGGTATTCTGCTATGTCAAAGGGCTATCGTTGTTATGATCCTGTGACCAAACATATGTATCATTCTCTTGATGTGACATTTCATGAAACTGTTCCTTTTTATAGTACTAATTCTGTGGTACAGGATTCTCTCTTTTGTGGTCTGGAGAAGGAGATTTCTCCTATTGCCCGTCCTGTTTCTCTCTTTGAAAATCACATTGTCCTCGAATCTCCTTCTCCATCCATGCAGGGTTCCCCTCCACCTTTGCAGGTCTACTCTCGTCGCCATCGCACTCAACCTCCCTTGCCAGAATCATCTTCAGAACCAGGTCCAGGTAACTCTCCTTCTCCTATTGCTCCTACAATTCCTGAGCATACCTCCCGTTATCCTACCCGTGATCGTCATCCTCCTAATTGATATGGTTTTTCTAGTAGCACTAACCACCCTATTTCCCAGTATGTCTCTTATGATGGTCTTTCAGGTGCATATAAATCCTTCCTGGGCAAGATTGGGACCGTTTCTATTCCTCGATCTGTGTCAAAAGCCCTCCAGGATCCCAATTGGGTGTCTTCCATGACAACAGAATTGGATGCTTTACACCATAATAATACATGGGAACTTGTTGCTTTACCTTCTGGGGAGAAAACGGTTGGCTGCAAGTGGGTCTTTAATGTGAAGTACTTAGCCGATGGTTCTATTGATCGGTATAAGGCTCGGTTGGTGGCAAAAGGCTTTACTCAGATTCCGGGCAAAGACTTTAGTGCTACCTTTGCTCTTGTGGCTAAGTTAACATCTGTGCGACTGCTTGTCTCCTTGTCTGCTGCCCATTCTTGGCCTCTGCATCAGTTAGATGTCAAGAATGCATTTCTTAAT